TACAATCGATGCGGGTGTCGTCTGCCGGCCGTGAGGCGCCCCGCTCGATAACCGGTCCGCGGCCGGTTGGCAACAGCGACGCACCTAACCGACCGCCCGGCTCATCACGGGCTCCGGCACTCCGTGAATCGCCCGGCTCATCACGGGCTCCGGCACTCCGTGAATCAACCGGCTCATCACGGCCACCGGCACTCCGTGAATCGCCCGGCTCATCACGGGCTCCGGCACTCCGTAAATCGCCCGGCTCATCACGGGCTCCGGCACTCCGTGAATCAACCGGCTGATCACGGTCTTCTGCACTCCGTGAATCGCCCCGCTGATCATGGGCTCCAGCACTCCGTAAATCAACCGGCTCATCACGGCCCCCGACACTCCGTGAATCGCCCGGCTGATCAAGGGCTCCGACACTCCGTGGATTGGAGGGACGCGGGCACGCTCACTTCTCAGACTCCCGGGCGGACATACGCGACTTAGGCAATACGTTGACTACAGTTTCAATAACATGCAGTCATGTGCCACTACTGGCAGCTGTTCCCACAAAAATCAAAGCCTAGCCTTAACGCCTCCGCACCAGCACAACGCACCAAATAAGGCAACAGTCATGAGCCACTGCATTCTGGACACCAAAGCCAAAGGCGTCGCCACAACCGCGGCAACAGAACAATGAGCTTGAAAGCCACAGCGGGCAACGCGTGTCGTTGTTTGACTTCAACGGGAGGGTTTGTAATGGGCCCAACAACTGACTGGACATCGATCCGATAAGGCTCATTTGCCACAGGGCTGACGTTGAGCAGCTTCGCATGGCACGGCGCATCTCCTTCTGCGCTTATAAGCAACCTCAAGAAAATGCAAAGTCACGCATGGGGATACATATGCAGACATTCCAGCGGCCAATTTGGCAGTCAGACAGGGAAAAAACAAAATTCCTACCGAGAGCATGCACGTTAGCGACCGCCGCAGCCACCCCTGCGCCGCTGGAGCCGACGTCAGCACGTGGACTCGGCCGGGCGGCGGCACAGTGCGACAGCGTCCGGCCCGGCCCGTCCGGCGCGAGCGCCGCCGCCTCAGCTGCGGCCGTGGAGGGGGTGCGGCCGCGGCGCGCAGTCGATCGATGGCCGCTGACTGCGTGACGCGCCACCTGGCGCCGCCGCGGCGGGCGAGGACGGCCCGGCCCGGCCCGACCCGGCCCGGCCCGCACTGCACCGCACCGCACCGCCAGACAAAGGGCCGACAACCGGCCGGCCACCGGCGAGGACTCAACCGGACAGCACGGGCTTAACCTTGACTTACACAGCTCACGAGAGGATACTGTGATGATGATGATGATGATGATTGGAGTCTTAAGGCGCGCCGTCTGCGATGGCCATTTTGCGCCCGGAAGTTATTGGGAAGAACAACGTGTAAAAAATGGCTTTAAAAGACTGGATCTGACCAGAAATATTAATATAACGAATGAATAAAATATCATAGAATCTACTATTAACTTATATGATATAATGGCAACGATATAATGGTCGTTCAAAGCTGGCGCAGTAATCTTTCCTCGCATTTTTGTATTTCACATTCAATATTATCGTATCGGCTCCTGGCACACGGGTGTGGTATTTCACAGAGTCATAGGAACAACAGTGACGTTCGAGCAATTTCATCAGCGCGGCGTTTTGCGTAAATTGATCGGTGCATTAGAGACGAACATTATTCACGTAGATAAGACAGCAGGAGCAGCCTAATTCCACGGATAAAAACCCAGGAGAATGGAGTTAAAGTTACTATAACTCCATTCTCCTGTTTTTCTCCGAGGAATAAGGCTATTACTACTGTCTTATCACTGCGGCGTTTTAGTTCATTGCGAGGCGACGAAGGGCGAAGAGCATTTCAGGGGTTCGTTTGCTCTTTGGGGCGAGTCCACTGTGTCACGACGGATGGCAAAGGGCAAAAGTGATATACATTTACGACGTTCCCCAGTTCTTTTTTTGGTACGGTAAACACTCGGGTGCTCGTTCCAGGAAAGGCAGGTCCATTCGAGTTTGCGGACGTCTCAATTCGTTACTGGTCAAATTTATTAGCTAACTATATAAAAACTTAATTAATCGACTACTTCACTTAATCCAAGTCCAATTGCAGCTAGTTGTATCAAATGTACGTCAAACCTTTTTCGCGTACATGCGTCAGAACTTCGGTTATGGCCTCTTAGGCCCGCAATATTTCTGTTGTTTTAATACTGGATTTACAGTGATCTTTTGGAACCACCGTTATCTGTGCATTCTGCTAGTTAAAATATGTTATAACGGCGATTCTCAACACATCCATTGGGAGTTCCCACATTTTGATCGAAAGGCAACACCTGTCATGCGAGGTCACTGCTCCACGCTCACCTGTCATGCGAGGTCACTGCTCCACGCTCACCTGTCATGCCAGGTCACTGCTCCACGCTCACCTGTCATGCGAGGTCACCGCTCCATGCTCATCTGTCAAGCGAGATCACTGCTGCACGCTCACCTGTCAAGCGAGGCCACTGCTCCGCGGTCACCTGTCAAGCGAGGCCACTGCTCCGCGCTCACCCGTCAAGCGAGGTCACTGCTCCACGCTCACCCGTCAAGCGAGGCTACTGCTCCGCGCTTAACTATCAACGGTCAGTGATACGGACACAGCCGGCAATCGACCTCCGCGGTATGCACGAATGACCCAACAGTCCAGTTATACGCCGCGCATGAGAGGACATTATTTAACGAACGGGTTGGGTTATGCTGTTTGGATGCACTAGTGTATGTACTCGTGGTGATAAGCAGTGCGAAAAAGCATTCATTTTGGTGCCCCCAACGTCTTACTCACATGCATTTGTAGGGGCGTATTCAGGGGGTATGCAGGGCGCACTCCCTTGGGGAGGTCCAACACATCATTAAAGTCATGGTTGTTTTATGCCGTTGGGGATCAAGCCCATAGCCTGTTCACGAGACCGTTTATCCAACCTGGTCAACACAACGGCTTTCACACGAGATTTACACTTGCTATAGTTTTTTTTTGTCATTTTCAGCTAAATGCTGCACTTAACTATGAAAACGTTCTAGCACATCGATATTCACTAAATAAGCGTTGCCAGTAATGCCATATTTGCATAAACCCCGTCCCTCTGTGTAATTGTCCTTTTCCTTCTCCCCCTTCCTCCTTCCTTGATACAGGAACGTAGCGCGCTACATCTTCTGCACCATAAGACCTCTGAGAGCTTACACAACTCCTCGCCTGACGGATAATTTCCAGTCCGTGCAATACCATTGCCCCTCAAAAGCACCCACATGGGCACCGCACGCCGCCACGATGGGCATAAAGAATCTTGGAGGCGTGATTCATGGTGGCCCGTTACGTAATGCCCATGATTTAAGGAGATTGCGCGGAGGTCTCTTTTCTGAACTAGAATGTATTCTTGACACATAGTTTAGCTGCAAAACAGTTGGAGCACAGTCAGAGCTACGCCGGCGCTCATGGTTTCATCTACTTCGTTGTTATTAACTTCGAAACGTATGAGCATTACGGTATTTTTTAAAGAAATTCAGAACTTACGGATAACACAGGAGTAATGGTCTTATTCCTCGGAGCAAAAGCAGGAAAATGTAGATATAGAAGCGTTGGTATTTTGGCAGCATGCCTTTATCGAAACAGCTGGCGAAATATTAACGCATCTGTACCTCCATTCTCCTGTTCCCACCCCCAAGAATAAGGCTATTACTACTGTCTTATTTATGTGAATAATGTTCCTCGCACATACACTTCACAACTTACGTAAACTTGAAAAGTTTTTATACCACGACACGATAAATTTCAACTCACAGCCAGCTTAAGAGCTAACTACGTTTCTACAGACCAAACGGTCGAATTTCATAACCTATGTACCTCAGTAAGACCCGATCCAAATACTTCACTTTTTACACGTCGGGTGTCATAAATGAGTTACTTGTATTGGCGCCTTGTGCCAGACGGCATTGTGTAAGTTTGGTTCAACATAAGGTACCAGTGGCATCACCGCGCACTTTGGAGCATGCTTTCCTTCGGATGAAGCCATTTACGGAAGAAAAAATGCTGAAAGCATAAACATCCATCACAATAATCTGCTTGTTCCTCCCACAAACGTTTTTCTTTATGAAAAACACGTAGAAATTTTTAAGGGCCGCAGGTCTGACAACATATACAGCATTCTCGCAAGGAACGTGACGACCCGCGCATTTGCTACTTTGCGAACATTATGCATGCGCATTGATGCACGCATAATTTTCGGAACACTTCAGCAAAAAGCCAGCTGACCTTGGGGAGGTCCGGCAACCCTGTAACCTGTACGGTTATTTTCACAAATGACACACGTTTAAGCTTTTGTCCATGCCAGCTCCTGCTGCATTTTCCTTAAACCAAAGCGCGTGACGTGATTCCATGGTCCAAAAACGAAGCGCTGAGACATAAGTGACGCTCGCCATCCGTAGCATTGTCATATCACGATGTTCCAAAGCCTGAACTTCTCGTGAGAAAGGCTTATTTCCTCCAGAGGTATTAGATCATGCCTGCCATCCAGGTCAACGTGCTGGCAGTTTGTATTCCGGGGAACTCTGGTACTACATCTCACATGTTCTCTTGATCTATGACAAAAGGTGGGACAACGAAACCGAAACAGCAAAATGAGATACGCCCCTATGCGTTGGACGGATGCCAGCCAATTGCATGTGAGCAAACGAAGAGCAATATCTCCAAGAAAACGGATGGATAAAGAACCCGAATTCGCAAACCGAGACACGCCCCTTTGCGTTGGACTAATGCCAGTCCGTCGCATGTGGACAAACGAAGATCAATATCTCCCGGAGAACATGATGGACAATGAAACAGCTACCGGCAAGTGCGGGCTGAGCCCGACAAGGCTCATGCCAGAACCTCAGTGACTTCAGAGACCAGACCCAGCTCTCCAGCGCTGCCGTGCAGCCGAGCGGGCGGCAGGGCGCCCGCAGCACCCTCGCACTGACCTGCACTGGACGAGCCCGCAGGTGAGTGTACCCAGCATGGCGAGGACGGATGGGGTGGGCGGGCGCGGCGAGCCCTGACACAGCCCTGACACAGGCCTGACACAGCCGGGCGGTCGGCTCGGGTCACCGTCGCTCGGCTGCCGACTGCCGGCGGCGCCGGGTGTGGCTGTGGCTGCCCCTCCCCCTCTCCCTCCCCGGCCGCCATCGACCGACTTGCGCCCTGCCCGGCACTGCCGGCGCCAAGGACCGGATCGGGCCGGGCCGGGCCGGTTCGGGGCAGGGCGGGGTTCGGCCGCGCGGGGCGGACGTCTGGACTATCCGACCGGCTCAGGTGGGCTCCTGTCTGCTCTTCCGGCCGGCTCTGATCGGCCGGCGTCTGGGCTCGGGTTGGCTTGGTGCCCTGCCTGTCTGCGCAGCTCCGACGAGCTTCTGATGCCCCCTTCCCCTCCCCACCGGGTGACATCATCAGTCTGGTGCGCCGGCCGCAGCGCGAGATGCTCCGTAAACAGCGCTGGCACGAGGACAGAGTGGCGCGGCACGACGCACCATTTCCACGCTGCACTTCAGCGCCGCCCGCCAGCCGCACCGAAGAGTCAAAACTACGCCAGGGTGGCCGGGTGTGTCGTCTTACGATGCATCGCCAAAAACGCACGCAACTGCACTTCGGAGAAGTGACTGGAAACCGTGGTTTATTTTCGTGTAATTCAATCTGTTTTTTTTTTCTTCTCACAACTCCCACCAGTACACTTTGGTGCCACAACCGTTTCCAGGCAGCGTACAGCACGTACACAGCCCGGTGCCGAGCCCCCTGCCTCTTGGTGTGCTGGGCGGCCCGCCCTGAGCGTGGCGAACCGTCTCTACGGGCCTGGCCGCGGTACGTGACGCACGGCACTCAAAACGCTGACGGCCGCCTGTCTCGCGTTTAATTCAGCCACCAAACAGCTGTGTCGCGGCGCGTGGCTCCCGACCCAGCGGCAGTGAAGAGGATCCCACTTAACTCTCACACACAGGCGCTCTACTTTTCTAAGTCTCGCTGAATAATGTATCGATTGCGGTCTAGACAAAAGTCATTTTCTTCTATCAGTTCTCGAGCGTGAAGTGATCGGAATGCTAACGTAACTTGCCGCCGAATGAGCTGATTTTAAGAAGATATCATCTACAAAGGAATATTCACCACCTTCAACGCTCACGATCCCATCGATCGATTGGCTTCGCGGCTAAGTCGCGGTTGATGCGACATGTGAACGGGCGCTTAACGAGTGCTTTCCCCGCAGACTTTCCACATTCTTTGCATTTTCATCCTGCATGCGAAGGTAAAATGTGCCGTGCAGACAAACAAACGACACGGAATGGCGGGCTTACCCGTGCAAGTCTGTTCGCGAGCCCAGCAAGACAGACGGAGCCCTCCATATACTAACAACAGGATCGGCAAGGATCACCTGAGCGGCAAGTAAAAAATCGCCAACTAGCAAACGGCGCATCATTACAGCAGCTAATGCTGCACATAGCACCTGCCTTTGCTTCTGATACATCCGCGATGTAATAAGCCATGGGGGTCAAGCATGACGGCTAAAAACGTTCCTCAGTCAAGTCGAAATTTAGACCATGCAGGCATTTATCGTGAATGCCAAGCGTTACATGAAGCGCCGCAGTTAAATTAGAAACAAGCAGCCCCACAGCACCACAAGAGAGCGCTTAACTTGTTAGACAGGTACCCACTACAAATGGTGTTTCAGTAGCATTATCATTACCGCTTTGCGTAATCATAATACTATAATAGCGTCTCATTACCGCTTTGTTGTCAAATATATTGAAAACCTAGCCGCTGATTAGTAAGTTTAGATTAGCTCTGAGCTTCGCACATTTTCCTCCCTATCCCACATATCTCGCAACAATAGCTAATTAGTTCGGTTATGACATTGCAATTGTGCAATGATGTCGCCCTGGCGCCATACTGGTCACAAGTTTATCCAATATTGCTTATCAGATTTTTTTATTTGTACGTGTCGAACGTTCTGACATTCGCTCAGTGACATACTTTGCCGGTAATCCGCTTTTCATGGCAACTTTCTGCAAAGGTTTGTCTATTCACCTGGCCTCTACGGAGGGCTACCGCTCTATATTGGTATCAACAGCTCTTCAAGACCTGCGCGACCTTGGCAATGCTGTCACTTGACGTCATGAAGCTGAAAGCCGAAAAGAAAGAGCGAGAATGGGCGACATTTGCGATGTACCGTGTTTCATGAGGTGAGCATGGGGATGAGAATAAGGCGTGCTTGCGAATAGCTGCTCTTCACGAACACCTTTCTTCTCCAAAATGATCCTCCAAATTCTCTCATTCCCTCCAAGTCATTAATTTAAGCGTCTGAGGTAAACATCATAAGTCTGTTCAAAAGAGAACCGAAACATCTCCCAATGGGTGAGTTTGCCGACAGCACTTGGAAACTCCCCCCCCCCCCCCCCTCCCTCTCCCGGGCAGCACGCTCTGGTACGGACCTAGTCACGGCCATTCCCCGATCCCATGCACCGTAACGGACCTAGTCACGTGTCATCAGCTGACGACAGCGGCATGGCCGGTGACAGCCCCGCCCCCTGAGACACAACAGCGGGAGTCAGAGCCCGTCCGGCCCCGCCCAGCCCCCAGCTTCAACGTTAAAGCGTGGGCGGCGGAGACGCGGTGAGTGGAGTGCGTCGTTCCCTCGAAACTCCGTCAGCACCCGCACCGCCGACCGAGCTGGTTGGGTCGGTGCGCCCCAACTCATTAACGTGCAACTGCCGACAGTGTGCTGAAGACCGGTGTCCACTGTCGACAAGTCGAATGGACGAGGACTGAGCCTACGAATCACCGGCATTAGAAGCCGCTGACCTGAGGTCAGAGAGTTGGCCCAATGCCACGCCCGCCAACAAAACAACTGGTCAAATTAGTGGAGCCATCGCACCCAACCATCACAAAACCTGCTTTGAGATACGGGTGCAACTGTCATGCATTTGAGCATTGAGTAGGCGAACGCCATACCCCTAAGGCTTCTTTAATTCCAGCACGCGGTAGCGGCGGCATGTAGTATATCCTGGTACAAAAGTACAACCTTGATGAAGCTCCACAACCATTCTGTTGTGCACAGGAGCGATGTCGATTTGCAGCATCTATACGGTACGGCTCACAATTCCCTGTCCGACACAGCCACAGGACTCTCCAGGCCCGGGCTAAGCCCATCCCAATATATCACATCGAGTCATCATGTCACACGCCCCAGCACTCACGGAGGTCAGCAGTCAAGCACGGCGCCCACTGAAGTCAGCAGCCACGCACAGCACTCACGGAAGTCAGCATCCCAGCACGGCACGCACAGGACTCAGCAGCTCAGCACCGCACGCACAGGAGTCACCAGCCCAGCACAGTACTCACGGGAGTCAGCAGCCCAGCACGGCACCCGCGGGAGGCAGGAGCCCAGCACAGTACTCACGGGAGTCAGCAGCCCAGCACAACACTTTCGCGAGTCAGCAGCCCAGTACAACACTTTCGAGAGTCAGCAGGCGAGCAAAGTACGCCTCAGCACTAACCTGAGCTTCTCTCCTGCCTCCGCTGCACTCTGCAGACGGTCTCAGTGGCCAGCTACACACAACACACGGCGCCACTGGCCGGCCGCACCCTCGCAACAGTGTACACACACACACACGCGCGCGCCTCCCCCGGCCCGCTCCGCCCTCGCTACTCCACCAGCCCAGTGACGCGCCTGCCCCGGCACGGCGCAGCGATGCGACGCGACCGCCGCCGGCGTCAGGGGCTCTCAAACCGGCCAGCACGCCAGCCCACTCAGAGGGCAGCACGGCGCGGCCGAGCGCGGCCGCCGTCGGCGCTAAATTCGAGTCCCCAACGCTCCATGAGGAACGACACGACCCTGGTCTCAGCTTTGCGGGAGCCTGCATGGTCTGAGAAAAAGAGTGGCTGACGAGCTGAGACAACTTGAATCAATAAGTGTAAAAAACCGTCGCGTAGGCTGCTAAGGGGGAGTCCGAAGGCCCAAGCCCTCTCCCGAGGCCTGTATTTTTTGTTTTGCATCATAGGGGGTTTCCGACAGAAAGTTTAAAAAATCGGTGTGATGCGTGCTCACCGAGCTCCAAGCCCCTCCCTAAAAATTATGGCTGCGTCCCTGTGCATGGATGTAGGAATGTCAGGGGTGGCAGACATGTGCGTGCAATGGCACCCAACCTCTCCGAGAATCCCCAGCAGTAACCTTATGGCAGCGTTTCGAGGGAACTGGTTCCAAGTCTGTTCTTCTCCACTTCCCCAGGCGTTCATTCGCCTATCCCCACCGATCGCCACTCAAGTGTTGTAGAAGAGGTCATCAAGCTTCTTCACAAAGCATTTCACAGCATTCGAATATGTTTTTATCTGAGCCAGTGCGTATCTAACTAAGAATAAGAATACGCAAAAATACGCGTACACGCAAACGAATTAAAGTCAACAGACCGGGCTAGTTCACTTCACACTTCATAAGCTTTCGTGATCTTTACTTTGGGTGACATCATGTATGTATATGTATGCACGCCTGTGTGTATATTGGTGTATTTTAACAGCATATTTTTACTTACATATAAGCCGTTATGGCATAATTGAAGCACATGACGCCTGACATATGACGTAATCATGTCAGTCACCTAGTGGTCTGAGACACAGGCGTCCCGCAGGCTCTTTTGATGTCAGTGTCAGCATTTTTCCCCATGCAGCCTCGACCTCCAGTGATATTTCTTAGGATCTTGAGCAGTGACGACTTGCATTATACGACCACTTTCTTCTCCAACCTATGATGAAATCATCGGAAGTCTTTGGCTTGGCATGTCTTCCAGTGTGGAATGTGCAAACACTCCAAAGACAAATGCCAGATTTTCCGGCCGAACTGTTGAGCAGACGAACACAGGGTTTTTCAGAGACAATGAATCATCGCGAGTCATAAGACCTGAGTCACCGCCGATCATGCTGTTTGAGGACGAATGATCAAACTCTGAGGACTTTCTAAGGGGAAATGTCGTTGATGACCTGAGATGTGAGGGCGCAACGTTTCATTGACCCTGACGGACGTAGAAAGTCAAAGGACAGTGGCAGGAACCGAGCAAAACTCTATTACAAA